GCTCTTTTGCTTCATATAAAAAGCACGTGCGCTTGCAAAATGAATCTGCCATCATTCAGCTTCTTCTCTCCCACCCATGTACGTCTCCCTGGAACATCCCTTCCCTTTCCCGACCTCTCCGATTTAGGGTTTCGCTGTTACTCTTAGAGCTTTCTGCAAAATTTCTTCCATGGGAGATCACGCCTTGGACGTCGCTGAATCGGAGAAAATCTCCGAATCCTTCGTTTGCTGCGTTTGCCTGTAAGTTTCCGAATCCTACGATGACAAAAAGAGAAAATTTTCAAATTCGAATTCAATCCACTTCGATTCTGATATGTTTTTCCTTGTGAAGATAAGTGGACCAAAATACGAAAAAAAGGATAGGTTTATTCTGTTCGAAAAATTCTCACTTTTGAGCTATATATGTTGCAGGGATCTTCTATACAAGCCTATAGTGCTCTGTAAGCCAGTCGATACTTTAATATAAAGTTGTTACTTTAATGGCTATCTTTCTCTCTCTAGATTGTAATTTGTTGATTTTCACATAATTTGTTGCAGCTTGTGGTCACATTTCATGTTTCTGGTGTGTGCATAAATCCATGGACGGTCTACGCGAGTCACGTTGTCCAATTTGTAGGAATCCGTATAATCATTTTCCCACCATCTGTCAAATGTTCCACTTCTTGCTTCAGAAGATGTACCCTCTTACCTATGAGCAAAGGAGATTGCAAACTTTAGGTCAGTTTTCATGTTTCCTTCGGCCCGAATTTGACCAATTTTTGCTATAGAATACTTTGAAGAGACTATGAGATTGTTGTTTCTCTAGATTGTGTCACTCCATAGCTTGGGTTGTTGGTTTTTCGTTTGTTGATAGTGGAATGTTGATTTTTATGTATTTGGAGGGAGGAGTGGTGTTTTGATATCTCAATACATGTTTTGACAATGTGGAAAAGGAGGGAAATTGTATGTCTCAACTTATTTCTTATTAGTACCTCACTTTGTGCCCATTATATATTGTGATTTTTTGCTTATTGCAGAAGAGGAGAACCGTATGGGTTGCTTTTCACCACAGTTCGATGATAATACTTACGGATCGCTAGCTAAGCAAGAATTACATTGCATTAGCAACTCTGCATGTGAGGCGTCCCATGTAAGTTCAGAGCAGTTGGAGTCCATCTCACAGGTTCAAGACAGTTCCACAAGTACACCTGCAGAAGCCCCAGATAAAAATAATGAAGTGACTGGGACTGTTGTTCATAACAAAAAGGTTTCCCTTAAAAAACAGGAGAGTGGGAATTGTGAGCTAGTTACAGTTTCAGATGTGCTATGTGTTGAATGCAAGCAACTGCCTTTTCATCCTGTGGCTCTCAACTGTGGCTCTCAGCAAGAATTACATTGTATTAGCAACTCTGCATGTGAGGCGTCCCATGTAAGTTCGGAGCAGTTGGAGTCCATCTCACAGGTTCAAGACAGTTGCACAAGTACACCTGCAGAAGCCCCAGATGAAAATAATGAAGTGACTGGGACTGTTGTTCATAACAAAAAGGATTCCCTTAAAAAACAGGAGAGTAGGAATTGTGAGCTAGTTACAGTTTCGGATGTGCTATGTGTTGAATGCAAGCAACTGCCTTTTCATCCTGTGGCTCTCAACTGTGGCTCTCAGCAAGAATTACATTGTATTAGCAACTCTGCATGTGAGGCGTCCCATGTAAGTTCGGAGCAGTTGGAGTCCATCTCACAGGTTCAAGACAATTGCACAAGTACACCTGCAGAAGCCCCAGATGAAAATAATGAAGTGACTGGGACTGTTGTTCATAACAAAAAGGATTCCCTTCAAAAACAGGAGAGTGGGAATTGTGTGCTAGTTACAGTTTCGGATGTGCTATGTGTTGAATGCAAGCAACTGCTTTTTCATCCTGTGGCTCTCAACTGTGGTCATGGTAATGACTGCATAATAATTAGCTGCATACATAATCGGATTTCATTCACATATTTAGAAATGACTTTTTGTATGACTAGCTATCCTAATCTTCAAGTTTTAAATTGTGCAGTGTATTGCGAAAGTTGTCTCATACACCTATGTGATGAGAATATTAAATGCCGAGTTTGTGAAAGTTTACATCCAACGGGATTTCCAAAAGTTTTTCAAGAGCTTTGTCAGTTTTTGGAGGAGCGCTTTCCTATAGAATATGCACTTAGAAGAGATGCTGTTCAGCTCAAGCAAGTCAACTCTAAGCATGAAAGCCTGATTACCTGTATGAATACTCTTATCTCATTTCGTCTGGCGGTCATTTGATTCTTGGTATTCAAATATACATGACGTGAAGTTATTATAAGATGAAGAATAGATGCATAGTTCACATGCGTGTGCTTTTTTTTTTTATTGACCAGAGATCGGTTTTGGTTTTTAGAAGCACATATACATATTAGAAGTTCAAGAAGCAATATTTGTTCCTCCTAAATTGGTGCATTATGATACAAGTTATGTATATTCCAGAATATGTTAAGACTTTGGTAGTTATTGTCGCTAGTGCTTTCTTTCAGGTTCGACAAAAGCTGATAAACAAGCACACAATGTACAGCAGTGGTCTGACCCTAGCTCAAACGTTCACTTTAGTGTTGGTTGTGATTCTTGTGGGGTAAATTCCTTGCTCCATCCTTTTTTGAGGTGCTCATGTTTTGATTCTGTAGCATGGCGGTTTGGTATAAGAACCCATCAATCTCTGCATATTTCATCAATCTGTTATGCTTTAGGCTTATACAAGGTTGGATGTGTCGTACAAATTTTGATGCTTGCTTTGCCTGGACATATCAATGTTCCCCCATTTTCATTTGCTCGAACGTTTCATTGCACAAGTTTGACATGCATTACGATATTTCTTTTGGGAAGAATTACAACAGTTACTACGGTGCAATAGTCTTTCATCAAGTAATATGGCCGTCCTGACCAATGTGGTCTCCTTTGATTTGCCTTCTGGATATTAATTCAATTCACTGCTTTGCTGAAAGAAAGTGATAATTTCTTATTAAAAAAAATAGTAAGACAATTATGACGTTTGTAGTAAGGTTGAAAGATGAATTTTTGAGGGTTGTACTAGATTTAGCCTTTTCTCTCTCGGTTATTCCAAACTTTTTCATTTGTTGTCCTCCTACCTACATTTGTCATATTTTTCATTTATCAATTGGCTTGAATTTCCAACACCAAGTAAAACATGAGCTTGTTCACAGATGTTTCCAATCATTGGAGAGAGATATAATTGCAAAGATTGTGTGGAGGAAATTGGATTTGACCTTTGTGGTGATTGCTACAATACTAGTTCCAAGCTTCCAGGACGGTTCAATCAGCGGCATACGCCAGAGCACAGGTTTGAGCTCTTAAAGTCGAACACTATCCGCAATATAATGTTGCGGCTAGTGACCGGACAGTTTGAAGATGGTTCCACCGCTCTGGTATTTGGTAATTATTCTTCCGAAAACTCAGATGAATCTACTGCTCTAGTCATTGGCAATCATTCTCCAGATAATTCAGAAGACGGATCTACTCCCCTTTCTTTGTACGACCGCGCTCCAGAGAATGTTGACAACAGTTCAACCACGGCTCTTGCTTCCTCCCCTGGTGATGGGCAGGATCAAGATGACGCCCAATCTCCCACTTAAATTTAATCCCAACAAAACTCATGAGAATCTCTTTTCATGGCAACTTAAGTGAGGTCAAGGCGGTTTGTTTTACCTCTTATGCTATTTTATAACTGGCCTCCGAGACACTGTATATAGGATGATTTTTCCCCCCTCATTCTGCGAACCAGAAAGTTACAGGACAGGGCTGAGAATCATGGTGGCCTTTTGATAATGTCGGGCTTTTTTTTTTTTGCCTTCCCTCCAATTCTTTTTTTGGAATTCATGGTCAACCCAGATTCGATCTACCTTTGGTTGTGAGAAATACATTAGTCTTGGTTCCACGCCCATGAACTAGGGCTCACGAGCGTGTAGCTCAAAACCTTGCTCCAATTGTTGGTAGTGTTGCTCAGTGTAATTAATATATATATATATATATATATATATATATGTTAGGGATGCTCGGGGTAACGTTTTGGTGTATAATTACTGTTTAAAAGGAAGAGGAAAAGGGGAGTTTATTTTAGGGATGTGAGCAAAAATGTTAATGATATCGGTTATTCGACTTTTTTGTCTTCTTTTTCAGTTTATTTATGTAGGGTTTTTAGATTGATTTATTGTTCGTTTGTTTTAGGTAAAGTAGGTGTATCATGCCATGTCTCGTTCTTTTGAAGTTGCTGGATTGAAAAATTGGTGCTGCTGGATTGAAAAATTGGTGCAAGTAGTGGGGATATGTAGGAGTGCTACATTGAATTACACAGTCATACGTGGGGAAAAAAAAGGAATTATACAGTGGTCTAAATTAATTGTGCAATGGTTGGAATAAATCATGTATGGTACGGTGTGCATATTTTAATACGGGTAGTATTTCTCAAAAGATGTAAGAATTCATTTTCTATGTAAAAACAAGAAGAGTACAACAATCTCGATTTTTTTTTCTTTTCTTTTTTCCTTTTAGTTCAAAGGATATGGAACTGTGTCGTGAGCAAGGATAAGGCAACATTACTCCATTGATTAGCAAAAAGAGCACATCCTTCTACCATTATCAAACAACCAAAATAGCTCTTTTCTTCCCACAAATCCTTCTATAATTTTCTTTCCCTCCTAGTGTTATCTTTACCAAATGGAGCATAACTCCGAGATTCGCAACAAGATATGTAAAATGAAATTGAACTGTAGGCTTGAAAGAAACCCTAAAGACAAAAGCACTCCCTAGCAGGAAAGTATACCGACTACCTACAAAACAAAGTTGACAAAATGATCTTTTTATTTATACATTGTGGACGTTTGGTTCATGGATTCATAATCATGATTCAGAATTATTCTCGGTTTACGTATGTTTTTTGTGAGAGAAAACACTGTAGCGAATCACAAACAATGATTCAAATCATAGTACGAATCTACCAACTAAACGCATTCTGAGATATCCCATAGGGTCATATTAAAGTTTCTTGAAATTATCTCTTAGAACTCACCAATAATGTTTTTTATGGATATTTTTACAATAAAGTTGAAAAAAATCAAATGATGGTAGATCTTTGTACTTAGCTGTTAGGACACCCTTACTAGTGAGTCTTTATCGTATAAGGATCAGCTTTTATTAAAGTCATTTATAAAACAAAAATGGTATGCATTCCGATAGAATTTTAACCCACACTCACAAAGTGATGGGTCTCACTAAGTTGAGTTCTACTTATCTACCTAATAGGATCCACCTCATATGAATAACGGGTAACGCCATCTGGATGAATATGAATGCTCTTTTTTTTAAAATTCCGTTTAGAGTAAAATCCCAGCTACCTCATTGAAGGAGGCAAAATGACACCTTAAAAGTGGAAATACTTGGAGACCAAATTCTGGATTTTTGGGTTGACACGAAGTGACTTCAGACCTGAAATCTCCAAGAGTGTTTGACTCAACCAAGTGCTCTGAAAACTTTCCTCTTTGGGGGTCTAAGTGCGCGTCAGACCTTTGTCGGATGTTGTTTGTACGAGAATAACCAAGCATCCATCGTACTTGCTCTGACAACAGATTGCTCCGACACCAGGTTGCTCTAAATGCGCACAAGTGCTCCGAATGGACAACCTGATACGAGAAAGTATGCCTGGCACGGGGAGTGCTCCGAGAGGCATGTCTAGTCACTAGAAAAGCCTCCGAATGAGCCAAAACTAATGGATTTCTTAGACCGTTGAGTTGGAGAAAATTTTTGAAGTATCAAGCTTGGTTTTGGGCCTTTCAATGGCTGAAATAAAGGATTTTGGGCTTCTAAAGACAAGAGGAAGGCTTTCTTAGGTTGAATCCTCCATCACTCATTCATGTTTAATTTGACTAATTTTAAAAAATCCCTCAAGCAGGTTTCAAATTGGGTCAGATTAAGGACAAATGGGCCTATGTGATCACTCGTGACCCACCAAACCACAACCCACGGGAGTTTCCCAAGTGTCGCTTGGGTCCACGAAATGAGCCCAATTACGTCACAGGATGCAAATGATTAAGCTTGGACCATTAATGGACATGGTACGAATTCAAGTATCAACACACTTTTATTCATTTTGATGGAGTTAATACTTTATTATTCATAAAAAGCGAGTCATGTTAAGTTGATAAGTGAGACCTAATCTAGTGAGATTCACTCAGTGCTAGGATTTTATTCCTATGTGGATAAATACCATTTTTCTTCTTAAAAATTAACCTAAAATCTGTTTGGTTCAAGCTTTTAAGTTAATGATTCTTATTCATTAGTAAAAACTTTTTGAGAGAACCATTGATGAGAAATTTTTAAATTTAAATTCTTTGTAAGAGAAAAACATTGTAGCATAATTAAAATTAGGGAAAATTTATATTGGTACTCTATGTTAAAACATAATTGTCTTTTAATACATTATATTTTTAATAATTTTAAATTAGTACTTCGACATTTTAGAAAATCATTTTTAATACTTTAAAGTCATTTTTTAGAATGTCAAATGTCAAATTTTTCATTCTCATTAATTAGCCAAAAAAATAATAATAAATTTTGAAATTTTTTGAAATTTTTTTAAAAAAAGAAAAACAATGCTTTAAATTAAAATGTTTTTTTCATAATTTTTTCTAAATTTATTAGTTTTTTTGTAAAGTAATGAGAATGGTAAATTTAACATTTTACATCCTAAAAAATGACCTTAAAATACTAAAAAATAATTTTTAAAAACGTTCAGATATTAATTTAAAATTATTAAAAACACAAGGTACTAAAAGTTATTACACACACAGGGTATCAATATGAAATTTTCCCTTAAAATTATGACTCATTTATTTTATGACTTAAGTCATATTTTTATTGTGTTTTTTCTCATAAAAAATCAAATTTAATTTTTTTATTACAGTATTTTTTTCACACAACTCAAGTTTCGTTTAGTTCGCCGAATCAAATTTTTAATTTTATGTGAGAGCTTTTAACAGTAAAAAAAAAGTTAAAGATAACTGTTTTTTAAAACTTTTAATTATAATAAAATTAAAATTAGTAAAATAAATGAGATCTCGAATTATTATTAAAAAGATAGATGTGATTGTTTTTTAGAATTTTTTATTATAACAAAACTCGAATTTTAAACTCGAATTGGCAAAATGAACGGGGCCTAAATTGTGTTAGTGAACATACTTTTCGTTGGTTTTTTCCATTCATCGAACTGCCCATGCTAGTTCCTCACCCCAAAAAAAAAAAAAAAAAAAAAAAAGGC